ATGTAGGGCAGAGAGGAGCTGTAAAATCTCATTTTTGTTTTTAATCTCTCTTCCACTAAAGGTCAGCAGCCCCCTCCTCTGGTAGATTGCTCCATGTACATGAGCAGTCGCAAAGGCATAGCGGCTGTCAGTATATATGGTGGCTTTTCTTCCCTTGGCTAGCTCTAGCGCTTGGGTGAGTGCTATCAATTCCGCTTTCTGGGCCGATGTCCCTTCAGGGAGTGCGGAAGACCAGACTACTTCGTCTTTACTGACCACCGCCGCTCCCGCTCGCCTCTTACCTTCTTGGAGGAAGCTACTGCCATCTGTCTACCACATCACCTCTGGATTTTTCAAGGGCTGGTCTTTCAAGTCCTGCCTTACTCCTGCTTCTTCCGCCAGGACATCTTGGCAAGTGTGCAACACCAGGCCTTTGGCTTCCTCGGGGAGTAGGGTGGCTGGGTTTAGGGTAGAAGGAGGTCCGAAAACAACTCTTTCCTTATCCAAGACTTTGGTAGTGAGTAATCCTTGCATTTGATAGCCCCCTGTCAGGGGGTTGCCTCACTACGCTTTCCAGGGCATGGGGAGCAACAATGGTGAATTTCTGGCCCAGAGTCAGTTTGTCAGCATCCTTGGTTAGGAGAGCCGCTGCTGCAATAGCTTTTAAGCCCCTGGGCCGTCCAGCAGCTACTGAGTCCAGTCTTTTTGACAGATAGGCCACCCGTCTCTTCCAGGGCCCCAAAGTCTGAGTTAACACCCCTCTGGCCACTCCCCCTTTTTCTTCAATATAGAGTAAAGGGCTTCTCTGTATTTGGGAGTGCTAGTGCCGGAGCGGATAATAGGGCCTGCTTGATGGCATCAAAGGCCTGTTGTTGCTCATGGCCCCAGTGAAAGCTAGCATCTCCTTTTAAGAGGGGGTACAGAGGGGCCGCGAGGGACGCAAAGCCCGGGATCCATAGTCTACAAAAGCCAGCGGTGCCCAGGAATTCCCTTAGTTACTTCCGATTAGCTGGGGGAGGGATCTGCACAACAGTCTTTTTCCGAGCTTCAGTCAGCCATCTCTTTCCCTCTCTCAACATATAGCCCAAGAAGATTACTTCTTTTACACATATCCGGGCTTTCTTGGCGGAGGCTCTGTACCCCAGTCTGGCTAGTTTGGACAGTAATTCCCGGGTCCCCTACTCACAGTCTTCCTGGGTAGAGGCCGCAAGGAGTAGATCATCCACATACTATAGCAGAGTTACCTCTGGATGTTGTAGTCTGAAAGCCTTCAGATCCTGGTGTAGGGCTTCATCAAAAATAGTGGATGAGTTCTTAAATCCCTGCGGAAGTCTAGTCCAAGTTGGCTGTCCAGAAGAGCCCGTCTCAGGGTCTATCCACTCAAAAGCAAACAGCTACTGACTGTCCTTGTGCAGGGGTAGGCAGAAAAAGGCATCTTTTAAATCTAATACAGAATACCATTGTCTTTCAGGGCTGAGAGTACTTTCAGGGTTAGGGACTGTGGGGTGGATATCTTGTACCCAGCTGTTAACTTCCCTCAGGTCTTGCACAGGTCGATAATCCTGGGTCCCTGGCTTCTTCACTGGTAGCAGAGGAGTATTCCACATTGACTGGCATTGAACCAGCACCCCCAATCTCAAAATTTTTTGGATATGAGGCCTGATGCCCTCTCTTGCCTCCTTGCTCATATAATATTGTTTTACTTATATAGGGGTGGCAGAGGGTTTCATGGTAACCACCACTGGGGGCTGACTAGTGGCTAATCCCAGTCCAGCTATTTCTGCCCACGCTCCAGGGAACTCCAGGAAACAGTTGATATTCGTCCTCAACTGACATGGTTAGGGCCACAACCATGGGCTGTCTTACAGAAGGGTTGAGGAACTCCACTTTTGGCCCCCCAGGGTTAAAAGTGATCCGTGCCCTAAGTTTTGTCAACAAGTCTCTTCCCATCAAAGGAGCTGGGCACTCTGGGATGATCAAAAAGGAATGTTGCACTTTTCCTCTACCCAAATCCATAGTTCTTTTGGTAGTCCAGGCCCGGTATCGGCTGCCGTTTGCTCCCTGGACTAGAGACCTTTTATTTGAGAGTGGGCCGAGCGGAGCTTGAAGGGCTGAGTATACTGCCCCTGTGTCTACTTCAAAGTCAATTGGGGTCCCCTCCACATCAAAGGTTACCCTGAGCTCCGGGAGGGGGTCTGAGCCCCGTCCTCCCTAGTCTTCTTCTTCCAGGGCTAGCAAGGTAGATTGACGAGCCTGGGGCAATCTTTTTCTTCTAGGGCAGTCTCTGGCCCAATGTCCTTTGTCCTTGCAGTAGGCACATTGGTCTGAGGTCAGAGAGGACCGTCAGCTCGGGCCCAGGTTTCCCTTCCTGTCTCCCTGATCTCTAAATCCTGGCTTTTCCACTACTGTGGCCAAAATCTTTGTTAATGCTTTGTCCCTTCTCTTATCCTTCTCTCTCTCTCTTCCCTCTCCCTTTCCTTTCTTTGTTCCTTTTCTTCCTCAGTCTCTCTCTTATAGAAAACTTTATCTGCCTCTCTCACTAGGTCTCTTAGGGTCAGGTCCTGAAGCCCGTCTAGACGCTGCAGCTTTCGTCTAATGTCTAGTGTGGACTGTCCTATAAAAGCCATGGCGACTGATGCCCTCTGTTCCTCGGACTGAGGATTAAAAGGAATATATCTCCTATAAGCCTCCATGATCCTTTCCAGGAACATAGAGGGTGACTCAGTGGGCCCTTGAATGACCTCTCTTACCTTAGCCAAATTGGTGGGCCTTCTAGAGACCACGTGGAGACCCGCCAGGAGAGCCCGAGGATAGGAGGACAAATGCTCCCTACCTTGCAGGGTATTTGGGTTCCAGTCCGGTCTGGTTAGGGGGAAAACATCCTCAATCAGGTTTGGAAGCTGGGTCGGCCTTCCATTTGGCCCCAGTACATTCTTTCTGGCTTCAAGCAGAATTCTCTCTCTTTCTTCCGTTGTTAAGAGAGTATTAAAAGCTGCTGGCAATCATCCCAAGTGGGCTGGTGTGAGTACATAAGAGACTCCACCAAACCTGTCAAACGAGTAGGTTCTTCAGAAAAAGGAGGGTTGTTATTTTTCCAACTATATAAATCTGAGGAGGAGAAGGGCCAGTATTGGAGGGCTGGCATTTCTCCCCCATTCTCATCATCTATCATAGGCCCATAAGGGCGTAGTGGGAGGGTGACAGCCACGTCCATGGAGGATCCTGTGAGAGAAACGACTGTCTTCAGGCTTCGGGTCCCTTGGGCAGGGCCAGACTCCCCGGGAGGGGAAATCCTGGAAGAAGAGGAAACAGAAGAAGGGGAAGGATCAGGGGGTGGGGATACTGGTGGAGACTGAACACTACTCTGGGGGTAGGGTGGTGGTGGAGATTCAAGCAAAAATGGGTCCTGGGATTCCTGTAGGACACGAGGTGAGGGGGATGAGGGAGCAGAAGGCTTCATCGGAAGCATATGGTTCTGCTACAGAACCATATAGTGATGGGGGAGGGGGGGAATGACTTTACCCATAGTGGAGGAGATTCACACAAGTCCTGCCAAGTTAGGATGTAGGCCTCCTGGTCAGGATGACCATGCTGGCCAGGGCGGAAAATAACATCTCGAACTTGTCTGATCAGAGACATGTGGAAGGACCCCTCAGGGGGCCAGCCGACATTGAAAGTTGGCCACTCTGAAGAACAAAAAGTTTGCATTTACCACACCTCACAGTAAGAGAAAGGTTTTGGGCCCGATCTTTCACCTCCGACCAGTGGTCAAGGATCAGTCAGGGAAGTAGAGGGCCCTTGTCCCATAGCCGCAAACAATCAAACAATCAGGACAAAAACAAACACAACAACTATGGACAGCCCACGATGAACACTTAACAAAAGACCAGAACAAACTTGCCAGCTGAACTGACAGGACTGGCAACAATTGGAAGGAATCGGAAGAAGACCTTACCCAAGGAGCGTGCGAGAGTGATTGGACCCCCTCAATGTCTAGAGGAACGTGCGAGCACAGTCGGACCCCCGGCCAGAGGGGCATGCGAGCACTCCGGGACCCCCCTGTCTTTCAGAGGAGCGTGCGGGAGAGCTGGGACCCCCTCATCCTCAAGAGGAGCGTGCGAGCTCTCCGGGACCCCCTCGTCTTTCAGAGGAGCGTGCGGGAGAGCTGGGACCCCCTTTTCACCCACCAGGGCGTCCCCCGGGGGTAGGGCCTGCGGCTCCGACACGTCTGTCAGCCGACATGTCTGTCAGCCGCAGCCAGTGAGGGCTCACGCCCCACACCAGCGGCCACCTTGCCAAGTCCCAAACCAAAAACGGAAACAGAAACAGGAATACAGAAATGTACAAAAGTGAAACAAAAACCTAAGCGATCGCACTAACAATTAAGGCGCCTGTACTTACCCCGAGAAGTGTCCGTTGGAGTCCCCCAAGCTGCCGGAGCCTATCTCGGTGGAACCTCCAACACAACAATTATGCTGCATATCCACGGAACGATTTTTATGCTATTTTATTCCCCTGGATACATAAAAGCAGTAGAAAATCCAGCGATCAATTTAGTGGTTGAGCACACTTTTTTAAAGCGAGAAAAGAGATACCATATTCGACAATTCAAGGCAACACAGACATAACTTACATTCATCAGAATGCATGTTTAAAAAAACGGAAATAAAAACAAAACCATCGTACTCTCACAACTTCAATCACCTTATTAGAACTAAGGATTCACAAGCAGAGCTTCCAAAAATCATTCAGCTTACCTCCGGAAGCAAGAAGAGAAAAGCGCGCACTCCCCCAGTACACTCCTGAGACCTAGGGTCTGGCACGGGTCAAAAACCGGAAACAAGCCCACTTCCTCTAGGATGGCGGCGTGCATTGTGGGAAATGTAGTTCTCACGGCCAGCACTGAGACGCTGAAAGCATTTTTTTTTAAAGCGTCGGTCTGTGCATGCGCCTTCCCGCCCACTACTGGTGTCTTCCGTCCGTAAATTCCGGTTTCTTTCCCTTTGCCTGGCTGCTGAAAGTGCTCTAGTTTTGCATGCGGAGGTTGGAGGCTCAAACCGGTCTCATCCTCTCTTCGGCTGACCTTGGGAGCTGTAACCTGAAGTGATCTCAGGCTCCGGGAATCTATGTCAGGTACGAGCTGCGGGGCGCAATCCCGGAGTCTGCCCTCCTTGTGTTCCTCCAGCCTGGGTCTGATGAGTTTTGCTGCCATTAGACCCTGTGCCTCCAGATGCCCGAAACTGGCTCCCGAAGCTCTGAGAGCAAGTTGGATGATTAGCTGGAGAGGTGTGCGTTTATACTCCGCGACACAGAACGCGCTGTGAACCCATGTGACTTTGCCCAGCTGTAAGTCTCGAGGTAACAATTGTAGTAAAATTGTGTTGTGCTAGCCGGGTCTTGTTACATTGCAGTTGTATTTTTGGGTTCTGGGTTGTTTGTCCTAGAAGTGTCTCTGCCCTGCTCCTGCCATGTTAACCGTCTTAGCTCGAGATCACCGGTTCACTATATTGTTTCTAGAGACAGTTTTACATAAGTCGTGAGAACTCTGACAAACCCTAAAGAGCGGAGGCAGAAAATCACAGAAAGGCGAAGATATTTTTAGCCTTCAGCAAGAATTGGTTCTACCTTCCAGAGCACATTTATTGGTAAAACATACAGTCATTTTATTTGTTTTAAGTTTTGTGGATCTACATTTTGGCGTGTGCTCAATTTGGTATTTTGTGTTAATATTGCTTAAGTAACATAAAAAACTTTAATCCTTGGCTGAGGATGGTTGGTTGGGATTGTGTCACTCCTATGATCGGTATTTTATGCTCCCTTATTATTACGCCTTATATTTCCCGCAAAATAGTCAGGTTCTTCATACGACTGTGTTTAGGAAGGTGAACACTAAGGATTTCTCAAATCTTTACTGATGTCTCATTGGCCAAAGCAAATTAAATGGCAAATGGCAGGTCATTTCACAAGCGAATTCTGAGTATTTGATAAATTTGAGAACCATGATGGAAATAGTATGCTACAAGAAGTATATATTGCATTCATTTTTCCTGTATAACTTTGGGTGAAAAATCCAGAGTTATAACAAATATGCTTTCTATGGTGCATAAATATATAAATAAATGAGATATAGTGAGAATGCTATGATACTTTTGCATTAATAGAAAAATAGTTCATGTATTCCTAAGTGTATGTCAGTAATAACTAATTTAGTGATGTTGCAATATGTCTTTTGTTTCAGTTACTGTTATTTTGTGTGGGAATATTAGTTTTTATGAATTCTGTATACATATTAACCTTTATAATATCTACTAACTAATGGACTGCATTCATCTTTAATGGAGAGTTTAATGCTCTACTTGATTTATAAAAGTTTCTTCTCCTATAAGGAGGCTTTATTCTTTTCCAGGCCATGTAATGTTTTAAGCAGGAAAATCTGGGACAAACTTACACTGGCTCTATCTTGACTACCTCATTTACCTCATAGCTGGGGAAGCTATGCTTCTTGAACCTTCAGTTCATTGTCATCAGCAACAAAGAATGAATGGATCTCTGGTGAGTTCCTTTTTTACTTCTAACTTTGTTTTGTATTCCAACTTATTAACTTAAGGAGATCCAAGAGTTAAAATGGAAAAATAGATTGAGCTTCAGGAAAATAAGATAAAAATAGCTTGTAGATTTAGCAGATTATAAAATCTTACATTCTATCTAAATTGAGTTCAGATTTGCTTCAGTTTGTTTCTAGTTTTTCTGATGTGAGAAGTAGTCACACTTGTTATGTGATTCAGTGACACCAAGGAGGTGACTTCATGGAAGGTGAATGTTCACTGACAACTGCTCAGAAGGCACATCTTCACAAGCAACATTGAACTATCTTAATGAAGTCTTACTGAAATTGCTAAAATAGTGTGGTCATAAACACCTTTGAATTTTCTAGAGGACTGAGTTACAGCATAGAGTTGTGTGTTCTAGAAGCTCATTAGTTAAATCCCATGACTGCTTCCTAGTCTTTTGTCTTACTTGAAACTTATTTGATATAGTCTGTTGTCTTTCTAGAACTCCCTCTTTTTTTCAAAGGTGGCCTTTCAAGATTTTGTTTTGCTGTTGTTTTCCTCTTTTCTCTCCTTATTCTGTTTCTTGCTCTCTTTCTTTCTTGCTCCCCAGCTTTCTTTTTTTTTTTTTTTGCTAGTCCTGGGCCTTGCACTTAGCACCTGGGCATTGTCCCTGAGCTCCATCTGCTCAAGGATAGACCTCCACCACTTAAGCCAGTGCCCCTTCTTTTCTTAGTAGTTTATTAGAGATGACAGTGTTGCATATTTTCCTGCCCAGACTGGATTCAAACCATGATCCTCAGATATCAGTCTCTTGAGTAGCTAGGATTACAGCTATGAGCCACTGGCACCTAGCATTAGCTTTATTTCTCTCTTACTCTTTCTTTGTATCTGTTTTTCTCTCTCTTTTTCTCTCTCAGTCCCTCCCTCTCTCCCTATATCTCTCACTTTTTTCTTTTTTACAAAAGATATATCCTAGAACTAATTTTTTTACTGATCAATTTTCCTTTGCTGAGATGGGTCTTAGAACTGACATGTTTCTTTCCCTATATATAGGAAAATTACAACCTTACACCCATTGATACATAGCAAAAAAATTGATATATCCTGATTCTGTTGTCTATCTCTGGTCTAATCTCATTTGATGAGGTATTACAGTTTTGTTCTTTCTTCTCATTCCATTTGAATATTTTCATTCACTGCCAGTATAAGATAGAAGCCAGGTTTGATACAATGACTAGGTGTATGTATATATGTATGTATTTATCTATCTATATAAAATTAAAATTATATATATATTATATATATACATATATATATGTAATATATATATAATTTTAATTTTAATTTAATTTAATTTTTTTGGTCAGTCGTGGGGCTTGAACTCTGGCCTGGGCACTGTCCCTGAACTCTTCAGCTCAAAGCCAATGCTCTGCCTCTTGAGCCACAGCACTACTTCCTGTTTTCTGGTGGTTTATTGGAGATAAGAGTCTCACAGCTTTCCTGCCTGGGCTAGCTTTGAACCGTGATCCTCAGATCTCAGCCTTCTGAGTAGCTAGGATTACAGGCATGAGCCACCAGCACCTGGCAGGTTTTTATATTTGAAGTGTTATTGGTGGCAAAATCTGACTAACATTTGTTCAGTAATAAATTTGGATCTCATGGAAACTTTGCTTCTAGCCAACATGTATGGCAGTATATCCCTAGGAAGCTACTGGAAGAAACCATTCAGGAGGCTGGGAAGGTGGCTCAGTGAGTGCTTGCCTCGCATGCATGAGGTCCTGGGTTTGATTCCTCAGTACTACAGAAACAGAAAAAGCCGAAGTGGTGCTCTGAGTCTGGTAGACCGCTAGCCTTGAGCTGAAGAGCTGAGGGACAGTGCCCAGACCCAGAGTTCAGGCCCCATGACTGACCAAAAAAGCAAAGCAAAATGAAAAAATCATTCAGAAATAACTGTGATACATTGGAATAGCAGTCAATGAAAACATATACTGCTGTAAAAGCAAGATGCACAGATTATAATAATTTTTGTCTTTTGTCTATATGTGTTTGTTATTGATACTGTTTTGTTTGTTATTGATCCATATGTCACCTATATCTCTAATAAGTTTTACATAACCCCAAAATTGGTTTTTCCATACTCTTTTTGAAGATAAATCTTGTTATGTAGTCCAGGCTGCTCTTGAACTTAACATGTAGCCCTGGCTGACTGGTAATCCTTTCTGAGTTTCCCAAGTTCTGAGAGTATAGGTGTGTTCCATCCTGTCTGGCTACATTAACCATTCTTAAATGTACAATTTGCTGGTATTACATATGGTCTCTTTGTTGTGTGGCCATCCCTTCCATCCATCTATAGCATTTTTCATCTTCCATGTATGAAGCTGTATAATCATTAAATATACAGCTCCTGTTCCTCTCTACATAAGTCTCTAGATTCATCATTCTTGTTGTCTCTATGAGTTTGTTGAACCTTGGAAGTAAAGGAAATCCTACTATGGCTGTTGCTTTGTGACTGGTGTATTTTATTTAGCTTATTGTATTCAAGGTACATTCCTGCTATAACATGTATTTGAATATTCTTTCTTTCCAATGCATTTACCCATTGGTTTGCATGTTTCTATGTTTTGGTTATTGTAAATAGTTGTGAAATGATTCTCTAAATACTCGTTCTAGTCCACATTTTCTCTTCTGTTGGGTACAAATCTAGAAATAGGAGTCCTGCACCATATTCCTGTGAATTTTGTAGTTCTTTTTAGGTTTCACCGTAACATCTTTGATCGTTTGCATTCTTGCCAGAAATGCACCAAGATTCACAATTTTTTTTACATCCTTCCTGGCACTCACTAGATTTTTTTAGGGATTGGTTTTTGTTTTTCAAATAATTTCCAGACTATGGGGTATAAAGTAGGTATTTCATTGTGATTTTGATTTGTATTTATGTCATGACTAGTGATATTGAACTTATATTTTTTGTGATTTCCTTTTTTTTTTATTGTGAAAATACCATACAGAGGGGTTACAATTACGTGGGCAAGATAGTGAGTACATTTCTTATTAAGCATTGTTGCCTCCTCCTTTGTTTCCCCATATCATCCCTTCCCCTCTCTACCCCCACACCCTCACACCTCCCTACCACCACCATCCCCATCTCCTCCCACCCCCTACCCCGCCAAAGTTGTAAAGTTCGTTTTTCGACATAACATCTTGTACATCTCATTGTTGTAATGGGTCCACCTGTAACCCTATTTAAACAGTTTGTTTTTTCCCTCCCCTCCACAAATTATACCAACATCAGATACAGTGAAAGTAGGGCTTATACCCTGGGGGAGGTACATACAAAGCAACAAAGAAATCATCTTATAAATATGTTGGAAACAATCACAAGAAAGAAAAAAAAACCTTTGAATCCTTATCTTGGGGTTCATTTTGCATAACATCAACTTGTCTGACAGTTTCTGTTTGTCTCAGACATATACTTGTTATTGCAAATATGAACTTCTTTTTATTTTTGTCTATATTCCTTTTAGAAATATTTTTTCAATCTTTTCCCCTCCTATTAAAATCAAATTTTGAAAGTCTGTAGAAATAAGCAGTGGTAGAGGAGGTGGGCAGCCATACAAGGGGGAGCTGTCCTGAGGAAATACACTCTGCCTCCACGTTTTGCGGTGCTGCTCACCCACCCTTAGAGCTCGCAACCTGGACTTTGGAGGCAGGTTCCTGTAGCCACCCACTGGACTTGAGCAGGGCAGGGACTGGCAACCAAGCTTGTTCTCTTGCTGGGAGCTGGCTAAGGCCAATGGCCATTGGGGAGGCTATAGTCCCTGGGGACAGCTTGTGGGAAGTTTGCCAGGGAGCCAGTAGCAGTAGATGATAAGGCATTCATCAAGGAGCTGGACCCAGTGGGTCAAGCAGCTGAACTAGTGGAAACAGTTCAGTGAGAGGTAAGTGTTGATGCTGTGTGCAAAAGCTAAGGACATTTTAACAAAAGTATCAAATGTGAAAGAAGTTTGTTGTCATTATCTGTGGAGATGTACCTGACCACTTCCATGACCAGATAAAAACTATATATCATGGGTAATTATGTAGATTGAGGTTATTACTCTGTGGAGACTTTTCTTGTAGCATTAAAGATTCCATATCCTGAATGTATTACAATATTGAGAGGAAATCATGAAAGACTACAAATACTCGTTTATGGCTTGTATGACAAATGTCTACAGAAGTATAGATATGCCAATATTTGGGAATATTTTACAGATTTATTTGTTTATCTTCCACTTACAGCTTTAGTAGGTGGACAAATATTTTGCTCTGCCTCCATGGTGGCCTCCCTCCATCCATAAATACACGGCTCATATAAGAGCTCTGGATCACTAACAAGAAGTTCCACACAAAGGCCGACGTGTGAACTGTTATGGTTGGATCCAGATGATCATGGTTGATGGGGTATTTCAGCATATGGTTTTGGCTATACATTTGGACAAGACATTTCTGAAATATTTAACCATGCCAACAGTCTCATATTGGTCTCACACTAGAGGGTTACATTGGTGCCATGGTTACAGTATGGTTACCATTCTTAGCGCACCCAGTTACTGTTACTATTGTGGGAACCAGGCTGCTATCATTGAATTAGATGACACTTTAAAATACCGTGTTCTTTGGTTTAACCCACCATCTTGTTGAGGACAGCCTCATGTTAACAGGTGCACTCCAGACTACTTTTTGCAAATTCCTTCTGAGAAACCCTTTCTTTGTATGTGGACATATGCGTAGCTTGTGTGTGTGTGTGTGTGTGTGTGTGTGTGTATTTAAAACCAACAAAAAGACAACAGTGATCTTTGTGTTTTTTAACAAATTGTGATCTATATTGGTATTGAACCACATCATGGATCAAAATATGTCATATTCATGATGAGCATTTAGCATAATTTGAGACTGAAATTTAGTACACTACATTGTAGATGGATCAGTCTGTTTGCCTGATATATTTGTAGTAAATATTTTTCTCTGGACTGTTCATACAGAAAAAGTAACTACTTCATCTTCTTTTGCACTTATTTATACATTTTAGTTTTAGTGTTTAACTGGCATGGATTAATAGAGGTGGAGTTTTATTCTTAAGGAAAAATGGCAAGCTGATTGCCACTTAACCCATTATCCTTATGTTATTAAAATGTATAATTAAGGAAGAGATTCTTTTGGGGCGTATTTTGTTATAACATGAAAAAGAATTCACTCCATTGAAAGTAAATTACTGTTTTTATGTTGATCTGCATATTTCTGTATATTTGTCATGACCATTCTTGCATCCTATTTGATGTACTGAACAAATAGGCATGCCATTTGAACACAAAAATAAAATCAGATTTGTGTGTGGGGGTTAATTATAGGATTTTGTTTTATATTTTCTAATTAATTGTGATTATTAATCTATTTAGATATATATGCAGATTTTTTCATACAGTGAGATACTTTTTCTCTTTGTTGATAGTGCCTTTTGATGTACAAGGTTTTATTGTATGCACTTAAGCTTGTTTGGTTTTGTGTGAGGCATTTTTGGTGTCATATTCAAGAAGTAACTGTCAAATCTGATGTCATGAAGCTTTCTTCCTTCCTCTTTTCTTTCCTCCTTTCCCTTTATCTCTTCTCCCTTCCTCTCTACTCTGCTCCTCTCATCTTTTATTCTATCTTTTCCCTGCCCTCATCCCTCTCTCCCCTCCACCCCCACTATTCATCTTTTTTTCTCTTTATGTTGAGATGAGGACTTGCTATGTGGCCGTACTTGGTCTCTAACTCAGAAGCTCATGTGATACACCTACCTCCACCATGCCTTTCTTATGCCAGTATTGGAGCTTTGAACTCATAGCCCTCACAGTCAGATTTCTCACTCATTACATGGCTCAAGTTGAGCCATGCCCCCTTGTCTTCACTGGCTTCCAGACTTCAGCCTCCTTAGTAACTAGGGTAGGATAACAGTCTTGAACCAGAAGCAACTGTACCTATGTTTTGTTTCAGTTTTTCTTACCTGAACATTTAACATTAACAGTTAATTGGATACTACAATAAAATGAGACTGATGTTACTGGTTTATTTTTTTTGGGGGGGTGGTCGGGTCATGGGGCCTGGGCCTGGGTGCTGTCCCTCTGCTCTTCAGCTCAAGGCTAGTGCTCTACAACTTGAGACACAGCGCCACTTCTGGCTTTTTGCTTATGTGGTGCTGAGGAATCGAACCCAGGACCTCATGCATGCAAGGCAAGCACTCTTCCACTGAGCCACCTTCACAGCCCATACTACTGGTTTATATAGAAATTAATATTCACTTAATATTTGTAGTAAGTAGTATATGTCTGAGACAAGCAGAAATGGTCAGATAAGTTGATGTTAGGTGAAATGAACCCCAAGGTGAGGACTCAAATGTTTTTTCTTTCTTGCGATTGTTTCTAACATATTTATAAGATGATTTCTTTGTTGCTTTGTATGTGCCTCCCCCACAGTATAACCCCTGCTTTCACTGTATTTGATGTCGGTATAATTTGTGGAGGGGAAGGGAAAAAACAAATCATTTAACTAAAGATACAGGTGGACCCATTGCAACAATGAGATGTATAAGACGTTATATCCAAAAACGAGCTTTACAACTTTGGTGGTGGGAGGGATGGGAAGGGGTGGAAGGGATGGGAAGGAGAAACAAAGGAGGAGGCAACAATGCTTGATAAGAAATGTACTCATGTAACCCCTCTGTACAGTATTTTCACAATTAAAAAAAAATTAATATTCAACCTAAACTCACATATTTCATGTTTCAAAGCAAGTGTTGTATTTTATTCCTAATAACTATAACTGTTCTAACTGTGGTAGGTTTTCTTCACTAAGCATGTAGTCTAGGCCAGCAGAACTCCATAGGTAAGAGAGTGGCAACCTTTAATATACACTATAAATACCAATGCTGGAATACATTTTGTTCTAGATCCATTCTAATTTTCCTGTGATGTTTATTTCTCCCTTAGATCATTAGAACTATACTGTTTAATTTTAATGTATTTTAAATTACAGCTTTATTTCTCATGCTGATTTCTACAAGGTTTGTCTTAATACTTTATTTTTACTTGTGTCTGTCTTGGTAAATGTAACACAACTTTTATAAACAACAGTTCGGTTAAGATAATATCACCTGTGTATGTGTTTCAAAATGACTTTTTGTCATTTTGTTCTATCAGTTATTAAGCAGAGAATTATTTCTCCAATAGCAATGATGGAATAAAAAATAAAATTTGATGGCTTTTTAAAAATGTCTGGAGACTTTTTCAGCATACAACTTTTATTATCTAGATATATGATCTGTCTGTTATCAGTGGTCTGTGTCTGTGGTCATACTGTTTGGGCTGATGTTTATTTCTTTTCATATTATCTTAATTTCATATTACCTTTATTTATACAAATAAACAGATCCATATCCCTAGTCCATATACTTTATTTTTTTGGTTTGTGGGACTTGAACTCTGGGCCTGGGCGCTGTCCCTCAGCTCTTTAGCTCAAGGCTAGCACTCTACCATGTGAGCCACAACACCATGTCCAACTTTTTCTGTTTCTGTGGTGCTGAGGAATCGAACCCAGGGCCTCATGTATGTGAGGCAAGCACTCTACTCCTGAGCCACCTTCCCAGCCCCCATATACTTTATTTTAATGCATTTATGTCTATAAATATTGAATCTTTATGCATTGTAAATCACAAATATGGTGCTGTAATTTTTCCTTCGAAAATTCATTTTAGAGCAATTATATAAAACATATTTTTATGCTACCTACACATTTGCCATTTAACTGATGTATATCTAACTTAGCACCTTTTGTTATTTTCTTGAACCAGGATAATTTCTTGTAGCAGTCTTTAAGTGTAGATATACTATTGATGAATTATCTCTCTCTGAAAATATCTTCAATCTACATTTTTAGAAGAGTTCCTTTGACAAGTAGATTGTGAATTGAAGGTTATTTTCTTTCAACACTTTACAGATATATTTCCTTTTTGTGTATTAGTCAGCATTCATTTCTGGTGTTGTGAAGCATGGCTGGATTGGAAGGATTGTTGGCCATTGTTCATTTGTAATATGGTTCAATATCGGAGTAAAAACATCTCTCCATTTAGCATTTGCACAACAAATTAGTATTATATTTCATTCCAACTTGTAAAGTTTTTCTTCTGTATTTTAGATCCCATCCCTTTTTATTCTTGTTTTTCTCTGTCCTGCTTATGGCAATCATGCTTCACTTTTTGTTTTTGTCATCTTGAATGTTTCTTAAATCTCTATCCGTTTGTCTTCCATCCCATGAAAACCTATTAAAATTCAAATCTGATCAAGAAACATTCCCTTCTCACCTATGTTCCATATTGTATGGGGTAGGTGATGTTCACAAAAGTACATGCTAGGAGTTCCTTTTTATGTAGGAAGGAAGTATCAGGGCACCTTTGATTATATATTAATCTTTAGAAATTCAATAACAAAAATTTTTATTGTAGGAACTAAGCTATATCTTCTAAGTGCTAAATTAGTCATTAATTCAATTCTTGAGTATTGTTGCTCCCTTTAACACTTATCAAGACAGTGCTTTGGTTTATCTTGTAATGCAGTATTTTTCCTTGTGATAAACTGAATAGAAGATAATAGGCTTTTCAATGAGGCAGAATATGAAAATGCAGGAAAAAAAGTTTTTCACTGTATTGTTACCCTGATGTGTAGTACACTTTAGCATAATAAGGTACCTACTTACTTATACTTAGTGTCATCATGCCAGATGCTTGACTCCTTAGAGACAAATATTTCTACTTTTTCTTTCTCCACCTCTATAGATAACAGAGAAATCACCAAACGTTTTATATAAGACTAAAGTATACATGGAGAGGAATGAAATTACAGACTTGGTATTTAATGACTTGGGCTAATTAGTTGATGGATATTTGCCATTACAGAATCTGGTGTCATTTGATGATGTGGCAATGGACTTCAGCTGGGAAGAGTGGCAGGACCTGGACATTGCTCAAAGGACCCTGTATAAGGATGTAATGCTGGAGACCTATAGCAACCTAGCATCCTTGGGTGAGCAAAAGTTACATTAACACACAAGGTCAAGTGCTTTGTTCATAGTAGATATATGAATCAGTTACAGTGCTATGTACATGTAAGATTCCAGTCCATGGGAAGTATCACTTATTTCTAAGAAAAACTTCAACTTGATTATGTAACTCTGAGGCAGTTTTACTGTAATTCTTCAAGAAGCCATGACAGCAGTTTGACAAAAATAGTAACAATGTTACATTAACAGGGGACTGTCTATTCAAACTTAAGGCAATTATTATAGGTGGATATATAATCTAGAATAAAATGTATGTTACTACTGAAACTGTGATTTGAAAATCACTAGTTTAAAGGTGGTATTTAATATCCAAAGCTGGAGCGGGTAAGAAATGAGAAACTAGATTTAGGAGCAACCCCATATACCAGGATGTCTGAAATCAATAAAAAAAGGATGACCCAGCATGAACAATACTTTTCTCTGTATCCTTTTTTTTCGGGGAGTGGGGCGGGTTGTGGAGCTTGATCTCTGGGCCTTGGCACTGTTCTTGAAATCTTCAGCTCAGGCAAGCACTCTACCACTTGAGCCACAGCACCACTTCTGGTTTTCTGGTGGTTAATTGGAGATAAGAGTCTCACGGACTTTCCCGCCTGAGTTGGCATTGAACCACGATTTTCAGATCTCAGCCTCCTGAGTAGCTACAATTACAGGTGTGAGCCATCAGTACCCTACTGATTCTCACTTTATCTTATTAACAGGGCACTGTGTTCCTAAACCTAAATTGATTGTCAAGCTGGAGCAAGGTGCAGAACCATGGATGGGAGAAACCCTGAACAAGAATTTCCCAGGTAGGTTCAGTTCATGCATCTTGCACAATGGTGTTGGAGCCAGAGCCCAGTTGGTATGTCTATGTTTAGCTATACTGAGCAATAATGTTCCTAATTCTCCTGAGTCATATGTGTGTCCAAGAAGTAGGTGATCCTTTGTCTCAAAGACATGTGAATCAGGAATTCATGTGGAGATGTATTGAATTTTGTGTGGGAATAGAGCTAAAGGTAGCAATATTCCTTTCTCTTTGTGGAAATCATTTTTGAAAAAAAAAAAAAAAACAACTGTAGAACTATGAGTATGCATGTACCAGGAAGTAAGAAGGACACCAGGGCTGTTCTCCTCAGATGAGGAAAAACGCTTATCAGTTGTGGTGGGCAGAGACTGGGAATCAGAACCAAAGCTTTTAGTCTAGAGAATATAGTTACGTGGGTGGTGAGCTGGAGTATCTTTTCTATGGTCTTTTGGACCAGGAGTTTCAGGAAAGGAATTTGGATGAGACTTTTTCTAAGATGGAGAAAAAGGGATTTAAAAAATCCCCATAGAAAGCTATAATAATTCTTAGTAAGAAGTTAGAAGTGAAGAAATTGGTATAAATCCTTACTCTTAAGAACCATTCCGGCTGGGCACCAGTGGCTCACACCTGTAATCCTAGCTACACAGAAGGCTGAGATATGAGGATTGCAGTTCAAAGCCAGCCTGGGTAGGAAAGTCCATGAGACTCTTATCTCCAATAAATCACTAGAAAACCGGAAGTAGTGCTGTGGCTCAAGTCATAGAGCTCAGGCCTTGAGCTGAAGAGCACAAGGACAGTGCCCAAGCCCAGAGTTCAAGCCTCATGACCAAAAAAACAAAACAAAACAAAAAAAACCCCATTTCTGCTTAGATGAAAGGCAAAGGGATCTATAAAACATTCTTATGGCCAATTAATCTGGAAAATATTCCTGTTCTTAAACTACTGGTTGAGAAGCAAAGCAGCACAAAATATAAATTATTTCAAGAAAATAAAAGAAACTAACCCCCTATAACTTAACAAAACAGTATAAAAAAGTTACTTTGAATTGTAAAATATCAGTAGTGTATAAGGAAGGAAAACAGCATATATTTGTCATAAATCAATTTCTAGTAATTAGAATGGGAGGAAATGTCTTATCTTTATATTAAGAAATGTATCTATTTCATTCGTTTTTCTTCTTTTTGGTTAATCATTTTAGATGTCCAAGAAATGGAAGATGTGATTAAGACATACCAGGAAAGTCCAGATAAATGTCCGTGTGAAGTATCGGCTACCAAGAGCAATGCAGTGGAGGAAAGAGGGAGATTAATAAGAACCTTTCATTTGAGCTCAAAACATATGCCAAAACAGATTAGGTATAATGAGAACTTAAGGATGAGGAGTAAGGAGTTCATTGGCTGTCAGAACATGCTTCTCTGTATTGAGTCTGATGAGATGCATGCTTCCTATAGGCCTAATGTCTCTCATGTAGTTGAACAATACCTCAGCTGTTTGGAGCATTATGAGAGTCCAAATGACAAGCAGTATTTTGAATATGGTAGAGAAGGAAAAGTATTAAACTCCGAGAGCAAATTCTTTAGGCACAATTGCCTAAAGAGAGAGCTCTTCTATAGCAATAATGAATATAGAGATAAGTCTGCCTTCATTGGGCAAAAAATGCTTCAGGGAGGTTGGCAAATATCTGAATGTACTAAATGTGAGAAAACAGTCTACTTCAGATCAACAGTCACTACACATCAGGAAATGCACACATGTGAGAATCCTTGTACATGTAGTGAATCTGAGAAATCTTTTAGTAAGGAAATACACCTTACAAAATCTCAGAGCAGATATGTAGAGGAGAAGTCTGATGAGTATAACAAATGTGCAAAATCTGTCTGTCAGAAGTTAGACCTGTCTTTCCGACCTCAAATTCACAAAGGAGAGAACCCCTGTGAATATGATGAATATAGGAAATCTTTCACTGAGAAATCGGCGCTCAGCAAGCATCAGAGTACTCACATAGGCAAGCAACTTTATGAATGTAACAAATGTGGAAAGTTTTGTACCCGGAAAGCAAGCCTTACTGTTCATCAGAGTACTCACGTAGGCAAGCAACTTTATGAATGTAACAAATGTGGAAAGTCCTTCACTAATTCATCAACTTTCAGGAGGCATAAGAAAATTCACACAGGTGAGAAAACTTATGAATGTAACAAATGTGCAAAGTCTTTCACCCAGAAGGCTCACCTTAGTATTCATCAGAGAACACACACAGGAGAGAAACCTTATGAATGTAACAAATGTGGGAGGTCATTCAAGCAGAAGTCACCCCTCAATAGGCATAAGAGAATTCATACAGGTGAGAAGCCTTATGAATGTAACAAATGTGGAAAGTCCTTCACTCGTAACTCATCACTCATCACACATGAGAGAATTCACACAGGAGAGAAACCTTATGAATGTAACCGATGTGCAAAGTCTTTCACCCGGAAGGCAAGCCTTACTATTCATCAGAGAACACACACAGGTGAGAAACCTTATGAGTGTAATCAATGTAAAAAATCCTTCACCCAGAAGTCATCACTCATCATGCATAAGAGAATGCACACAGGTGAGAAACCTTATGAATGTAACAAATGTGGAAAGTCCTTCATCCAGAAGTCAGATCTCAGCACACATAAGAGAATTCACACAGGCGAGAAACCTTATGAATGTAACAAATGTGGAAAGTCTTTTACTCGGAAGGCAGACCTTACTGTTCATCAGAGAACACACACAGGTGAGAAACCTTATGAATGTAACACTTGTGGAAAGTCCTTCACTCAGCAATCAGCTCTTCTCAGACATAAGAGAATTCACACAGGTGAGAAACCTTACGAATGTGACAAATGTGGGAAATCTTTCAAGCAGAAGTCATACCTCAGCAGCCATAAGAGAATTCACATGGGTGAGAAACCTTATGAATGTAACAAATGTGGAAAGTCTTTCACCTGGAAGACACAGCTCAGTTTGCATCAGAGAATCCACATAGGTGAGAAATGTTATGTAAGCAATGTGAAATGTCTTTCAAGCAGAAGTCACACCTCAATGTGCATCAGAGAACACACACGGGAGAGAAGCATTGGGAATGTAACAAATGTCGAATCTTTGACCCAGAAGGCATATATCAGTTTGCATCATAGAGTTTACAAAAGCAAGAAACGTTATAAGTGTAACAAATGTGGAAAGTGTTTCACCCAGAAGGCATGGCTCAGTGTTCATCATATAATACACATAGGAGAAAAGCCTTATTTATGTAACAGATGTGGAAAGTCTTTCAAACAGAAGTCAACCCTTAATATGCATCAGAGAACACACACAGGAGAGAGACGTTATAAAAAATGTGGAAAGCCTTCCAACCAGAAGTCAAATCTCACTATGTATCAGAGAACTAGAAAACTAAACATCAAAGAAAACTAATGAATGTAACAGAGTACAATGTTTGTAATAAGAAGTCCATCTTCAGTGTACATCATAGAACATACAGAGAGAAACTTTATGAATATAAACTGGTATTAGAGATCTGAACACATGACAGAATCTCTGTAATTTTAAGGAATAGAGGATGTTTTTCAACAAGAAGTCAACCTTCAAGCATTAGAGCATTCACATAGGAACGAAACCCAATTTAAGAAAATCTCTTAGAAATTAATTATAAGAAGATAAGTTATTTAGAGAAATCTTACATGGTAAAGGTAAGGTAGGTGTCCATTTTCTACTCTTGGACACTCACTGACCCATCATTTCTTATCCTGTCATGGTGTTGAATGGGTATAATGTACCTGAATATTATCCAAAGGATTTGGACAAAATGATGGTCATTACTTCCAGGCTTGACAAATGGAGAGTGAAGTTATTGATTTGTATCTTTTATAAGAAAGAATGTTTTGCCAAGGTAATGTTATAACCTCCTCAGAAGCTCTGGCACTTTTGGACTAGAGTCAGAATCTCCAAGGTGGCTTAGGGAGTAATAGGTGGGAAAAGACTATCAGTGGTTTTAGCCAAGGCAATGAGATCATCAGTTTCTCCACTGCTCCCCTAAAGTCTCCCTTGTTTCCGATTTTATGTATGATCCATGTCATTTAACATAACTTACTATTTCCAGTTCACTTGTTTTTTTTTTTTTGGTTGGTTGTGGAGCTTCAAATCTGGGCCTGGGCACTGTCTCTGAGCTCTTCAGCTCAAAGTGAGTGCTCTACCACTTGAGCCACAGTGCCATTTTCTGTTTTCTGGTTCTTAATTGGACATAAGACTCTCACTGACTTTCCTGCCCAGGCTAGCTTTGAACCATGATCCTCAGGTATCAGCTGCCTGAGTATCTAGGATTATAGGTGTGAGCCACCAGCGCCTAGCTCCAGTTCACTTTTTGAATGTGGGAGATCTAAGGAAAGATACTAGTCCTTCTTCATTACAAATGTGCACAGGAATAAAATTTGTCCTGTCATCTTTTGTCCCGCATTTTATGGAACAGAGATCATGGAAGGTAATACATTTAGTGATATGGGGTACAAGTCCTGCAGCTTGAAATCTGGGCTTAAACACTGTCTCTAAGTTTTGCTCAAGGCAGTGCTCTACCACTTGAGTCACAACTCCACTTCTGGTTTCTTTGGTGGTTAAATAAAGACCAGGGTCTCAAGCATTTTCCAGCCTTAACAGGCTTCAGTCCACATTCCTAATTCAGTATTTTGATTAGCAGGATTATAGAGATGAGGCACTTTTGCCTAACTCAAAATTTAATTTTTCTGGGGTTTGAACTCAGGGTGTGGGCACTGTCCCTGAATTTTATCCACTCAAGGCTAGTGCTCTATCACTTGAGCTACAGTTCCAATTCTGGTATTTTGGGTAGTTAATGGAGACAATAGTCTCATGTACTTGCTTGCCATAGTTGGCTTTGAATTGTGATCCTCAGATTTCAGCTGGCTTGGAATTGTGATCCTCAGATTTCAGCCTCTTTAGTACCTAGGTTTACAGGCGTGAGCCACATGCACCTGGCTGAAAATTTATATTTTGTATAGAAGAATCTATAATGAACAGAAAACAATTAAAATTGGTACTACAGATAAATAGAAGGGTTAATATTTGTTCATATGTACAATTGACAATATGACAGTGGTTCTCTGCTGATAGATTGATTCCCAGGCTATATTTAACATTTTGGGTATTGTTTCAGTGATAATCACTGGGACAGGTATCTGTCTCTGAAAACATGTGGACTGTTTTGCTGATGAGCATATTCTAAAGTATATAAGTTCTGTGTTAAGGTTTTTTTTTTAACTTAATGTTCTAGTATAACTGATAGTACTTTTTTTAAGTTTAAATACAATGACTTGGATTTTCTTCAGTATAAGCTGCCCTTACTTAAATTTAGTTTGTTAAATGTGTGAGAAATTGCTTCTTAGATAGTGTTACCTAATCCTGCATCATGCACTGGGCTTAAACATATTTATTCACCTATAGTTTAAGCATCTACCAACCTTTTCTACATCTCCCTACAGGTAATTATACCAAAACACAATTAAGACATGATTTTGTTAAAAACAATACTGGTAGTAATATAAAAATTAGGAACATGGAAAGAATAAGGACCAAAAGCTAATTTAAAGACTTATAGAAATCCAAGGGATAATGGATACAAATACATAGAGGTAGGACTATAATAGCCACTTGGTTGGTAAAGTAGAGGTTTTAAAAAAAAAAGATCCTCCTGGTTTTCTGATTGCATAGCTAGGTACATGTCTGGGTTCTTCATTTCAACCTTCAAAGTTTCTAGATTTTAGGACTGGGAAGGTGGCTCATTGGTAGAGTGCTTGCCTTGCATGCTTGAGGCCCTGGATTCGATTCCTCAGCACCACATAAACAGAAAAAAAAAAGCTGGAAGTGGCACTGTGGCTCAAGTGGTAGAGCGCTAGCCTTGAGCTGAAGAGCTGAGGTACAGCACCCAAGCCCAGAGTTCAAGCCCCATGACCGGACTCCCCCCCTCAAAAAAAAGTTTCTAGATTTTTTTTTGTCAGTTGTGGGGCTTGAACTCTGGGTCTGAGGGCTGTCCCTGCACTCTTCAGCTCAAGGCTAGCACTCTACCACTTGAGCTACAGAGCCACTTCAACCTTAAGCGTTTCTTAAGGAAATAAGAGTAGTTGCTAAAAATTTCTATTTTAAAGGATGTTATCTACTTCTTAAGAAGTTTCTTGTATTGTTGAGTAGATGTACAAAGGGGTTACAATTCTATAAGTCAGGTTATGAAAATGATGCTTCTTGACAATATCACCCTATTTTCCATTCTCCCCCATTTTTTCACTTCCTGGTCCTATCCACAAATTAGTTTATTTTTACACAGTACACACTGAATAAAAAGACTTCATTTATTCATGCTTCCTGCCTCCATTCCTTTGCTCTCCTTCCCCCTCAGAAAAAATGTTTCCATTACTTTGTATTCATTTTGATAAATACTACGTTAGTTGTTCCAAGTAGTTATGCCTTTGGATTCCTCCCTTAATTACACTCTCCTTTAGTCAGTTTGTGAGTAAATGCATTGAGCCCTATGTGTTACCATACCTAGCTGTATTTTAGATCTAGCTTTAACATATGAGACAAAATCTGTGGCATTTTAATCTTTAATCCTGAGTTCACTTAACATAATTTCTTTATTCTATGTCTATCCATTTTCCTACAAATGACATGATATTTTTTCTAATGGATGAGTAAATCTGCATTGTGTGAACATGCCATAGTTTCTTGATGCACTCATCTATTTTAGGGCATCAAGGCTGTTTTCATAACTTGGCTATTGTGAATAGAGTAGCATTGAGCATGGATGTGCAAGTGTCTTTACTATATCCTGACTTGTAATGGACTAGAAAGATGCCAAAGTGTGGTATAGATGGATAGATGGACCAAAAGGAAGTTTAATTTTTAATGTTTAGTTGAGAAATTTCCAAATGGCCTTCTGGAATGGTTGTACTAGTTTACATTCCCACCAATAATGTAATAGGGCTCCTTTCCCTCACATCCCTGCCAGCATCGGTTATTGTACAAATTTTTCATGTTAACCAATATTAAGGTAAAATGGAATCTCAGTTTTGTTTTGGTATATATTTCCTTAATGGCCACAAATGGTGAACATTTCCTCATGTGTTTATTGGTTATTTTTCCTTATTTGTAAGAGCCTCTATGTAGCTCCTTTGCCTACTTACTGATTATATCATTTGTTTGGGAGAAGTTAATGTTTGTATAGCACATATTGGATATTAGGCCATTATAGAGATGCCTGATAAAGGTCTTAAAAGTAGCTATGTTCTTTGCTGGACAGAAAGTTTTAAGTTCAATATAATCCCATTTGTCAAGCCTCTCTGACTTGCTGTGCCCTGGGATTTTCTTAAAATGTTCCTGTCTATGTCAATAATTACTAAATAAATAATTTTGTGTAATCTCATTTGTCAAGCCTCTCTGATTTGCTGTGTGCCTGGGACTTTCTTAAATTGGTCCTGCCTATGCCAGTAAATAAGTAATTTTGTTGACTATGGCCTGAGACTGGACCTAGGAAGCCTGATGTGAGACATAGATAAAACAACAATGTTCTGTATATATATATATGTGTATATATATATATAGATATATATACAAATGCATGCATGCATGCATACATACATATATAACCATAGTAATACAATTTACTTTAAAGGTAAAATTATATTTAAAATTAATAAAAATCATACATTTTTGATAGTACACAGATATTTCTAACAAATCAAAAGTTGTATTAATTGTTTTATGAGGTCATTTCTCATATCTGGTTATTAAAGATTTTCATTAGTATTACTATTTAATTTTGTTTGAATACTTTTGGGTATAAATTCTGAAATTTCTCTATTAAACTGCTGCAGAACTTTCAATTCTAAGGTAAAGTGCCAAATTTCTCCCCAAATGTGCTCATGAACAAATATAAATATATATATACATATATCTATATATATGAGACTTTTATACTTCATCTCATATCCTGACAAAAAAGGAAATTTATTTTTATAAGTATTTTGTTTTTCTTATTACATATTAGTTATAAAGAGTGGATTTCATTGTGAAATAATTTAATATGTTTTATTGTGATTATTAAGGTACTGTATACAGGAGTTAGTTTCATAAGTCAGGTAATGAGTTCTATTTCTTTTTGGACAATGTTACTCCTTCACTTACTCCCACTTTAATTAATACATGTGTGTAAGATACTTACATCTGAACGATTTTATTATAGTTTAATTAATTTGTTCTGGCTAAAAGGAAAAAGTTTTAAGGCATCCAAACTCCTCTCCTTGGAGATCATCTTAGTAATATTTTGCAATGAGTTTACCTTTGCAGCTTCTGTGATCCTGAGAAGGAAAATTCTCTGAAAATTATAGGGCAGAGTAAAATTTGCTATCATTGAGCAAGTACAATGCATAAAATCAGAAAAGAGTTATCCTAATTTTTCAGAAAACTTATACCATCACTGAAAATAATGGAAAAGGTGCCAGTAAGTTTTTGCAGTTGACAGATAATTTTCTTTCCCTCAAGTATCAAGTATTGGCCAAATAATTACTTATCACAGTGGAAGAGCTGGAAGAAAAGAATTGGTGACTCAATCCAAACTTTTAGAAAATTTTGAAATAAAATATTATTTCACTAGTAAAAGTGAGACCTTAGAAAGGGATGTCTTTAGAAAATATTAATATTCAATAGAATGAAGAAAATATAAATAATTCAGGAATATTTTTATGAGTAGTCAACCTAGAGCAGACTAGTACTCAAGTGTCCAAACACATGAAACATCAAAAACATAATTTTTTTAATTGTGAAAACACCGTACAGAGGGGTTACAATTACATGGGCAAGATAATGAGTACAAGCATTGTTGCCCCCTCCTTTGTTTCCCCTTCCCATCCCTTCCCATCTCCTCCTCCATCACCCCCCCCCCCCGGCCAAAGTTGTAAAGTTCGTTTTTTGACATAACAGCTTGTACATTAAACAGAGGGTTTTAGGGTATTTCAAAACTACAGTGAATCTGATTTTCAGTATGTCCTGAACTGTTTTAAAGTAAACTATATTTATGATCAAGCAGTTAGCTGGTACAACAGAACTATACTTTTCTCCATCTCCTGGATAGAAAACTATT